CCCTAAACTCATCAGGGGACCAATCCACCCATGAGTATCACACACCATGATCCAGTCACCTCCCTATAGCCCCATCTATAAGCACATGAGGCTTTGGAGGGGGCATCAAGATAGAAAGCATAACAATATCCCAGTAGACCTTCTGTGTTTTAATCTTGGTTCAAGCCGCGAGTGCTTTGAACAACTTGGAATAGGGAAAGGAAAATTTTGGGGAACATTTAAATTACTCATATATAAAGCTAATTTTGAATAATATTCTACTTTGAGCTGCATATATTTCCAATGAGTTGGTGTTGTTCTTCCTTGTTAGAAGTACAAATATAGGTTTACTTCCAGAAAGTACTACTGCAATAAAGGCTGCAAGCTGAAAATCTCTCCACAAGCTACTCACTTCTAAACATAAAGATGAAATTTACCCTATTGGATTTTAATAAATTATTTTAATCTTTTTCTTTTCCCCAAAATAAAGAGACCACAATGTGCAATACAATTTTCAGATATGTTATAAAGGACACCTCACGCCACAGAAGAGAACTACTGTGGAACACTGTGTCTTGTACATGCTGGAGGCTCAGTAGAGAAGTTGTGTCCTTTATAAATCATTTGACCAGGAAAACAAAAATTTAGGTTCCTCCACCCAAAGGCTCAGAAGTGCTTTCCTGTTATCACCAGTTCAGCATACTGCTGAAACCTCTCTGGATACAAGGAAGGAGGAGGAGACCCAGAGTATGGCCCCTTTCTGCTCCTTTACTTTGCCATGCCTTTGCCTGCACAGTACCAAAATTATTGAAAAGTCCAAAGTCTCCTCTGAGACTGAAGGCCAACGGCTTGTGAGCTCCTATTAAAAAAGACAAGGACAAAGATGAAGATGAAGATGACTACAATCACAAGGACAACGACAAAGAAGAAGAAGATGAGGAGGAAGAGGAGGAGGAGGAGGAGGAGGAGGAGTTAAATACTTCCAACATGCAAAGGCACAGGGTGAACATCCCCATTCCAAAAGGGAGAAATAGGAGGATGGAAAGGAATAGGACCAAACCAAAACCAAAACCAAGCAGGACAAACATTAAGTCCTACAACTACATGTCCAGCACTCAGGGAAGGTTGTGTTGAGATGTGAGTTCCAAGAAACTTGTGTGGCCCCAGCCCTGCAGCACTGCCAGTCACAGCCCACACGGCATTGAGTTGACTCTGCTTGCTACCTGCAGCTTTCCCCAGTAGATCATCCACATTCTTGGCACCTCCAACTTTCTGGGGTCTCTACTGCATCTGTGGCTTCACTCTCACATCTTCACCCACTGCCCTGTCTGGGGCCCACCACATGGCCTCCCAGGCCTTCCTTTGAAATCTAGGTGGAAGCCTTCATGACCCCAGAACTCTTGTATTCTGTGTTCCTGTAAAACCAACACAACATGAATGATGCTAAGAACTGCTGCTAGCTCAAGCATTAGCCAGGCCCCCTTAGATCATGGGTGCTGTGACCCCTGAATGTCTGCATGGGTGAGCATAGTGAAATTAATCCTAGGCACTAATTCCTTAGGTGGCCCATCTTGAGCAGGTACCCCAGGGAATCTCTTCTTAAATGAAAACTTTACCGTTTTTAACCCACAATCCTGCAAAAGATAGGATCTAGCCAATTCTGGAGATACTTTCTAGCTGTCTTTCCTAATATTCTGATGCTAAGTATTTCTTTTTAATGCTAATCTTTTTAGTAACTACACTCTCCAAGCTGTCCTCAGCTGAAGCTTTACAGGGGCTTCCTTTCTGAAAAAAAAAAAGGAAATTTTTTTTCATATCTTTTGAATTTTTTGCTTCTGATTTTCACTGTTGATGTGTCTCAAAGCAGCCAGCAGTTGCATACCACAACCTGAATGATGAGCTGTCTTAAAATTTCTTCCACCATATTAGTCTTCTGCCCTTAATCTCTGTCCCCTGTAAAGTCTCAGAACATGGGTAAAATGAAGATGGTGTGACACACATGGCCTCTAGTCCAATTGCAAATGGACTCCTTGTTCCCAACTGAAACTTCTGAGCCTGGCCTTTACTGTCTGCATTCCTATCAGCATTCTGGTTTTCCTGACCTCTGCCCAAAATCACTCATCAGGCTCTGCTTGTACCAGTCTAGGACTTTTCTAGTCCACTTCTTCAGATTTTTCCAAACTTCTCCTGAAACTTAAAGGAAGCAAGGTTTATTTAGCATTAAGTAATGTTTCAATGGGTTCAATCCACACTAGTTTGACTCTAGGGCAGAAATGACATGGTAGAAAGTCATGGTGGAGGAGAGCTGCTCACCTCATGAAGGCTAGGAAGCAGAGTGTGAATGAAGCAGCCACGGACAAGAATAAACCCTTCCAGATCATGCCCCCAGTGATTCACCTCTTCCAAGCAATCTACCTACTAACAGCACATTCAGCCATGAACTCATCAACGGATCAATCCCTGTGATCCAGCCACCTTCCAAACACATGGGACTTTGGGGGACATTTTAGATCTAAGCCATAACACATCAAGAGATGAAGCCAATTGGGAAGAGCTGATCTATTGGTATCACTTAGTTTTGATTGAATAATGCAGGGGAATGAGTATCTTAGACAGTATAAGTTACCAGAAAGATGATATTTGAATATTAGATGCCATCCTTCAGGGTACCCAGGCCTATAATCTTCTCATGCTCTGAGCTCCCCATTTCCAAAAATGTGTGAGCTGTCTGCTCCTATGCACAGAATTCTAGCCATAGACAGAAGAATGAAAGTTTCCACTAAGCCAGCCCAGCCTCAGGACAGACTCCTCTCTGTTCTGACCCGTGCTGAGTGCTCAGATGAGTTTGCTTGTCTCTGGAGAAGTTTCGCTCTGCGACCTCTTCATACTGTGACCTTCCATCCTCCCATACAGGGAGTCTGTAGCCCAGTGCCCTTTCCGTTATTGCTCATGTGACTCGGTTCATTAACAGCCACACCCTTTGGCAGGCCTGGAGTACATGATGAGAGGGGAGGTCTTTCCAGAGAAAATTCTGGCAACTGTTCATTCTAGTCTCACATTCTATACAAAGCTTTGGCACTTTCTTCATAGGAATACAGGATATTTCATGTTAAATATAATCCTGGATATTATTCCCTTAGAAGATGAGGTCTAGTCTCCTTTGGGAATGTTTCCAGGTGTTTTCATCTCTCCAGACCATTCATCTTTAGTTAAGGGTGGCAAGTTACTGAACACTATGCCCAACTGATTCTGGACTTCACCTGGTGTGGCAGGGCTCAGAGGCATCTGGAGGCTTCTGAGGGTCTGTGGGACTGAAGGAGCCCTGGGAAATGGGTGTGGGTAGAGATAATGCCTGTGGGATGAGCCCCAAATGCTGCGGTGGGAAGAGGTGGGGTGGAAGAGGAGTCGGGAAGGACAGAGAATGAGCAGTGACCAGTGAGAGCTGGAAGGCCTGTTCCAGAGAAGGAAAAGCTCAGGTGTTTCTGAGAAGCAGGAGTGATCATGAAAAACAAACACCGAGAACCGAATATCAAAGTTAGAAATACACATCCCTAGTGACTTCGGACAAATTGGCTTTTGTGGAGCTGTGGGGACAAAAGAGTCATTAGGGCGGTTTCAAGAGTAAACAGGAGAACTTGAGATGAGCAGAAACTGCTTTTGTGATGTCTTGACGGAAACGGAAGCTGGGAAGGCGCTTGAAAGGGAAATCGCCCAGGTAAATACATTGTTTGTGTGATAAAACTCCTGCGGGTCAGTACTCCTGGGAAAACCCCTCGGCTGGGCCCATGGGCAACCAGAGTGGGGTGCGGGGGTGCACTCTTCTCTTCCCTGGGTCTTGCAGCAAACCTGACTTTCACCTTTGTTGACAAGAGCCCAAATATGCCTTCCTTTTGGAAATATTTTTTCAATGATTAAGTATGTTGGAGGCGCAATCTTTGTAAGTTAATGCTGTCATTATGCTGTTTGTTGTTTTCAATATCCTCACTTTAAACTGGACAGAGAGAGTGACATCAAAAGACCCTCACTTCGCCCGCAGCGCCCAGGCCCGGTTCTGAGGGACTAATTGGGCACCGCGTTCCCGGTCAGCCTCCACAGGGCTGTCACCGTGTCACTCTGCAGGCTGGTCTGTGCCTCACCTGACGCTCTATTGTTTCCTTCTCCCCCACAATAGCTCTGTGTCAACATGACCAACGAGACGCTGCACCACTATATCAATGAAGTCCTTTTCCTACAAGAGCAAACAGAATGTGTACAAGAGGGGGTTACCATGGAAACAGCATATTCTCCTGGTAACCAGGCTGGAGTTTTAGATTTCTTTTTCCAGGTATTCATATAATATAATTAGATACTTAACAGGATACGTGCATTCAGAATGTACTGGAGACAAAGAATTTTCGTTCTGAAGGCTTTGTTTTTGAGATGGCTTTATATATAAAACTCTGGAGTGAATTTAGAACATTTCAGAATCTATTGAGGGGCACAAGTTATCTTATCTAAAGGGGCATTTGAAAGATCACCAATTCACTGAAAGGACAAGAAACATAAGAACACCTAGATGTAAAAAATATTCAACATTTTTCATTCGTTATGACTAATACTCTTCTTAGCAGTTACACGTGACCACTGTACAAACTTTACACCTTGTAAGATAATTTTAAGACAGGTGATATTATGAAACAAATTCCATAGAGTGTTTTTTATTTATCTTCAGTTTCTAAAATCTACGTTTTGGAAACTTGACAAAGTATACACGTATCTAATATTTGGTTAAATTGAAGAGGCTTGGGGCATCTGCAGGTGTTGATATTTATCTTTATTGTTCTACTTACAGTGAAAAAGTTTTGACATGGGAATCACTGCATACAAATACAAACCTTTCATGCAAACAGCCCCCCCTTACTGGAAACTGAACCGAGGGCCTTGTCATGAAGCTACCTCCCCAGCCCTTTTCTATGTTTTTGTTGGGGTTTTTTGGTTTTATTTTTTGAGCTGGGATTTTGCTAAATTGCCCAGGCTGGGTTTGAGCCTGCAGTCCTCCTGCCTCGGCCTCTCAAAGTGCTGGGATTACATGTTGGGTGGGAACACAACAGTGAGCAAAACCAGAAGGATTAAAAGTAGATAGAGACTGAATCTGTTTCCGAGCGTCTATATAAATAAAACTAAAACAAGCCTGCCTGCACAGTATCAGAAATGCCAGCCTAAGTGACAGGAAAACTCTCCCTCCCTCTCAGAAACCATCCGGATTTCTCTCTTTGCTGGATGAAGAAAGTCAGTCGGCGGAACCGAACCTTCCCAAGAAGCTCCAGAGCCTGCTGGAATCGTTGTGCAGGAGCGCGGTGTACCCCGCCCTGAAGGACGGCAACGGGAACCTGGCGCTGCGGGGCGCGGGCAAGGCCTTCACGGTGCTGCACTACGCGGGCCGGGTGAGTGGGGGCGCGCGGGCGCTTACGGTCCGACGCTGCACCGAGCCCGCAAGGCTTCACGAGGTCGGGGTTTGCTGGCAGTGTTGGGAGGGACCACAGTTCCGGTCCCCGCGCTGTGGCATGGGGTGTGCCCTCGCGTGGCTTTCCCGTGTGGCTTTCCCGTGTGCTCATTTCTCGCACCAGAGCCCTCGACTTCCGTGCACAGCAGGCAGCTGTGCACCCGGGGTCTTACAGGACTCCCACTCGACCTGGAGATTTCCTGCTTGTCTTCCTAGGAAGACCGAATTGCATTCATCTTTGTTAATTTTCTTTTCTTGGTACTGGGGGTTGAACTCAGGGCCTTTCCCCTGAGCTGCACCGCAGCCCTTTTAAAGCTGCGTTATTTTGAAATAGGGTCTGGCTAAGTCGCTAAATTGCCTATGCTGGGCTTGGACTTTAATCCTACCCCCTCAGCCTTCCAGAGAGCCTGGTTGCCCGCCTTTTACCCACCTCTGAATGCTCAAGTCCGTTCTGTCTGTCTCCAGTCCCACTAGGTCTGGAGTTACTAACGCCACCTTTGTGTTTGCCCCTGTGCCCTCGGCTGCTTAGGCGCCAGCCCTTAGCAGGAACTGGGTCCTGGAAGACCAAGTCCCTGCTCATTAGCCATACCCAGGCTCAGTTCTCCTGCACCAGGGGCTGCAGAGACTCTGTGAACCCCAAACGAGGTGCATTAGCGGCTGAGAGATTGCCCAGGGCCTACCCCCTGCTCTGGGGTATCTGACAGTCCCAGGAAGGCAGGGCCCACCAGCAAACAGCAGTGCACAGAGAGTGTTGGTGTGATGATATTCCAAAGTCTATGTTCGCATCGAGAAGGAACCAATTGCCTGGCTCAAAAAACCCAGCAAAGCATGGAGACCTTTTGCAGGAGAGGTGCAGTGTGACCTGGGATCCCGGTGAGTTAGGAGCGCTGCTTTGGGGGCCCAGGGGCTGTGAGTGTGTGCCCTCCTGTTGTGAAGCACCGGGGCATGGGCAGAAGGTGACTCAGAGGAGCAGATCTTCACAGACTCTACCCTGACCTTTCAGGAGCCCCCTTAAGACCGCACCCCAGAACTGAGCCCCATCTTGATGGGGACCCAGCCAGGCTGAGGAGCAGCTGCTGCCCTCTAGGGTTTCCCGCTGCCACTCAGGTGCCTTCCTCATCCCTGGCACCCCGCCTGGAAGACTGGGCCATGGAGAGCAGGGCTGGCCAGGGCAGTGTGTGATGGGCTTCCCTAGAGCGAGGGCCCGAGCCACATAGGAGCAGCCTCTGCCCTCTCTGCCTGCCCAGCCTGCCCGCCGCTGCCCTTGGCAGCTCTGAAGTCAGCGCCCAGCCGTAGGGGCTTGTGGGAAGGCTCCTTTCTGGCCCCCCGACCGCGGCCGTGCAGCTGTGCCAGTCCACCCAGCCACCACGTGGACAGGAGCGGGGGCGAGAGTGCAGCCGGGTGCAGTCAGACGGGAGGTGGAATCTCTGAAAAGGGTGCTTTGGGCCAAACCGCGGATAAGTCTGCGTCTGCTCCTACGGACTCAGTCCTCTTGACTCATGAAATACTTTGGACTCGGGGGGGACAAGGCAAACAGTACTAAATGCTAAGGCGGTAGAGGGCGGGTGATTCTAGAAACACGCTTGGAAATGTGTATCCTGATGGTTTTACCCAGGAAGAGTATGAAGAAGGGGGAGAAAAATTGAAGTGGGAAACCCTGAGAACAGAGTGTCACAGTGCCCCTGGGAGATGTAGCAGCCAGGCCCTGGATGGCCCTGTGAGCGGGGACAGAGGGCCCCGTAGATGCTTGGGGTGGCTGCTGGACTGTGGAAAGGAGTGGGAGGAAGGGATTCTAACCGTGTCCCTGGACGGCTATTACCTTCCTCTTATAGTCGAGATTGAGCCTCTGAAATTCTTCATCAAAACAGGAATCCGTTAGTCTTGTGTTCAGGTTTTTTACCTATTCCTTCTTCTTATTACACATGGATCGCACTTATAACAATTACATAAAACTTTACAATAAGGTATCATGACTTAGGGAAATTACTTTCCTTGAACATTTTAGGGGAGTTGTGTTAGGAGATATATGTTTAACCCATCCTGTGCATCTGTACTGTGTCGGAGACAAGCTAGATATTGAATAAAAGCTATGTCTTCATGGGTGGAAATACATTTAGAATCCTAGTTTTCTGATTTACATTCAGTTTTTTAAAATATTCTGAGCACTTAATAAAATATCAACTTTAGCTGCAATTGTTTTTAGAAAATTTGGGTTGAAAACAACTAATAGTTTAAATTAATAAAATCACTGCACTGGTTTCTGTTAAAAATTAGCCCATAGAGGGACAAGCAAGTGATCAGTTGGTGCTGATCCAAAGTCCTTGTGGACTTGAGTTTTCCCACAAAAGCACCTTTATTTTTAAGCAAGTTTCCCATAATCAGAGTCAATCTTGTGGTTTTAAAAAATCTTTCATTTCAGTGAGCTGTATTAACACATCTTGGCCAAAGGACCCCCTGAGGACAAATTCACATGTGAGAGTGCGGATTATGTGTAATTTGTGGCAACATGTAACCCACACTTTAGAATCATCCAGTGTAGCTCTACATGCACTTAAATTTTGAACTATGGCACTAAAAAAAGGCAGTATATTCTTCATTTTGTCAGTCAAGGTATGCAGAAAAAGTTGAATGTCAACCTGCAGTGTCTATCTGGATGGGAGGAGGAAGAGTCCTGAATAACCTTTGACAATGAAGTTGACCCCATGCCCTGGACTTCCTGTGCAGGCTCTCTGGCCAGATGGCAGGGCCGAAGCTGTCCCTCGCTACCCCGCTCCTCTGCGTGGTTCGCCAGGTCTTTCTATTTCTCGTCTCCTAGGAAGGGCGGCAGTAGCTGCTGCTGGTGGTGCTGATGTCCAGGCCCCACCTAGGGGACTCACCTGTCCCAACAGCACTACCTGGGAGCCTGTGCCTTGGTTCCGAAGCATGTGGATGCCGAGGCTCACAGGTCCTTTTAGAATGTTGAAGCAACGTGATTTGAATTATAGCTGAAGATCTTCTCTAAACACGTTTGAATTTTTCATTACTCATAGGAGCCTGGTGTATCTTCCAATCTCCATTACGGAAATATTTTAAAGAAAATGGTAAGAGGTTGTGCATGGCATGAAATCATGAAATATTAATAAGGTCTCATTAATGAGCATAGATTTGAATTAAAGAAGTCTTGTGGGGTTTGTGGGGTTTTTGGTTGTTGTTGATTATTTGCGTTAGCAAATTTAAAATCATATACGGGATGGCTGGTTTTAGGGATTGCTCTTAAACTGCTGATTTAAATTACAGATAAGCATTTAACTCAGAATTGTGTCTAATTCTATTGACTTAAAAATGAGAGTCTTGAAATGAAGGAGAATGATAGCTCGACGTTGGCTCTTGGGAGACTTGAGTTTCCATTAAAGCAGTTCTCAACCAACTGTTGTAGGAAATAGTATTTTAAAGTTCTTAAACTTTGATATGAGAAAAGTGGATGGGTTAGGAGAAAGTAAACCGGTCTGAAATAATAAAGTTCAAATTAATGAAAACATAAGTGAAAGTTAAGAGCTGTGCAATGTGTGGCACATGCACCTAAGACCCTGGATTATTTCCTGGTCACACAACTTCCTTGAAAGCTGTTGTAATTTCCGATCGAGCAGTTCTGTGTGATCTCACTGCAGTTCCTGGTGGTCCTGCGTATCACATCACCACTGTTCTCTGCCTTTGGAGGCTGTGTCTATGTTTCTGCTCTGTGTCCCCACGAGTACCTTAAGCGTTGATTAGGGCTGCATGGTGGACTCCAGAAAGTGTGTCCCGGTCCCCACCCATGGAAGCTGGGTACCTGAACTTGTTCGCAAAACAGGGATCTGTGTATAGAGCGCTCGTGAGCTAAGGATTTGACAGTGGGGATCATCCTGGATTGTGTGGGGAGGCGCTAAGCCTGATGGGAGGTACCCACAGGGCGGTGCGGTGGCGGAGGAGGCGCCATGGTGTTGGAGGCGGAGCAGGGCGCGCTGTGCCACAGCCGGGGGACGCGCGGAACCGCCCGGAGCTGGACCGGGGTGGGTGAGGAGCAGCTGCACTGGAGCCTGCAGGAAATCAACCTCAGGCCTCCAGGACCAGGGAGAGCACCCTTCTCTTGCTTTGTGGCACCCAGTTTGTGGCCTGGCCACCAATTGTGACAGCTTTAGGCGGCCAGCACAGCCCTCGCCGGTTTGTCCCACTTTACAGATTCTGAGAGGACGATGTGGCGTCACCGTGCTAGGCTGTCTTCACGGGGCATGGCCCCATTCTAGGGACCCCGCCTTCTGCGCCCGGCTTTGACCGCGTGTGCCCCCTGTAGACCAGCTCTCCTCCCTCTCCCCAGGGTCAGGTTCCTGGCCAATCCCAGATTTCCTTGATTCCCCCTGCCCATCAGTAGTGAAGCAGGGTGCTCGCTTGGCATTTCACGGCTTGCAGAGCGCGTCCGAGACCGCTTCACCTCGTGTTCGTGTATGAACCAGCGTTGCCGCTTCGGGTTTCATCCGGCGTGCTTCGGTGAGGTCCATCCACTCCCCACAGGATGTTCAGCCCCTCGAGTGTCTCTGCCTGTCCTCTCCTCTTCTCTTTTAAATTTTTAAAACGTTGTTATTTTAATATAATGCAACTAGCTATTAATTTTTGAACAATTTCTTCCTATTGCACTATATTTATTATTCTTTTTGGTATTTATTTTCTCTTCCAGTTTCTCACACAGAGAGACAATATGGTATTTACACATGTGTATTTGATTTATTTCTTTTAAAATTCAAACATGGTCTCAAGGTGCATCCATTTATCTAGAAATGTTTCAAGTTTTTTATAGGTAAATAGTACTCCATTATATAGATATATAAAAAAAGCACATCTAAATGGTCAAAAACTGAAATCCATCACACTAAAATCAGGAATAAGACAAGGATGTCCACTATCACCACTCCTGTTCAATATAGTTTT